GGAAAAACCCTGTCACATTTACATTTATTGAATGGAATAGAGCAGCATGAACATTCTGCAAAACGTATTCTTTTGAGTTCCACAGAAGAAAGTAAGTCATACAGGTTTGGATCAACATAAATGTGAGAAAATAATGAAAAAAAAAATCTTTTTTTGGGGAAACTGTCCCCAAAAGCACCACAGCGCCCATTATTAGGATTGTTTTTTGTGTACATTCACTTGAAGGTCCCTGTAGGTGACCGTTTCAGACCCCTTTTCACATGCATCTGTTTTTCACCAGAGCTGTCAGTTTATTAACTGACAGGCACCGTTTAGCCAGCTCAGTCTTGGTCCTCTCTTACTGCAGGCTTATACAACATCGACCGCGTCACTTCCCTCAGTCAGAACCCTGCAGCTGACGCTCTAGGAGCCCACTTGACTTTATGAGCAGCTGTTTAACATTGACAAGTGCAACTTTTGACCCATTACTGAAGATGCATTTTGGAGCACTTTAATCTCTGCACAACACTGCAGCTGTAGTGCTTGTTTTTGGAAAAACAGCTCGCTGAATTGCAGTCATGCTTTAATAATGAGGAGGAATGCAACTTTAGTAGAACATTTCCTAAGTGTGTGTGCAAGAGTCTGGTTTTGTAGGTTAGTCTTTGTGTTTTGTGAATGTACGTGTGCTGAAGGTGTTTGCTCCTTGATTTCCCAGGAGGCCATTGTGACTGTGTCCATCATCTTTCTTCTTCCCAGCGCTGTGCTCAGTTTATTAATGATGTTTAGACTCTTATTTTCAGTGCAGCTCATATGGTGGCGACAGGCTGCATTAGATTAAGTGTTTAAATATTATTTTTGGATTTTATGTATAGCTTGAGACTTTGAGGCTGAAAGGCGTGTTGAAGGACGTATGTGTGTGTTAAGGTTAAGGTCAGTGTAATGTTACCCTCGGCTAGCATTGGGAGTGAGAACAGCGCTATAAACAGGAAACCGATGTCACAGTCTGGATTTTAGCCAGACACAGGCTGATCATGGACAGAAAGTGCATATATACGTAAAGTTAGTGTATAATAGGGGTCTTTCAGGCCAAGAACTAAAAGCGAGTGTTGCATTTTAAATAAAATTCCCATAATAACATGCATATGATACTATTATGTTGTATTAACTTCTTTCATGATGTTTACATTAAAAATGCTTTTAAATAATAATTTCTGATGTGTAGAGTCATTACGTTAAATTTGAAATTGATTAAATATTTTAATTGCATTTAATATTTTAATTATTTATAATTTGGTTATGGTTTGAATTTTATTTTATTTTGTTCTATTTTGTTTTATATATATTTATATTTATATATTTTTTATTTTTGCCCTGCAGTACTGCTGTGGACCCCCTAGGGGTCACAGACCCCCTGTTGAAGAGCCCTGAAATAGTTTTTCTTTATGTATTTAAAAAAGTTACTCCCTCATTGAGATCATGTCACTCTGATTGACTGCTGACAGCATTGACATTATGATTGACAGGTCAGGACACAGGCGATAACATAACTAGAAAGGGTGCAACACATTTGAATATATCAATGTTTGATTGATGTTGTTTTTGTTATGTTGAGAAATCACACTGGATTTCCGCCAGTGCCTCTGGCCGATCCCAAAGCCACGCTTGTGACCAGAATGATATTCATTTTCTGAGCTCATGGGAATTCTGGGAACCAGATGAGATCTATATTTGTCTATGTTTGTGATGGGACTCTTTGCACGTCAATATTTAATGCCACTCGTGATATTAGGATTAAATATGAGCCTCTGGACATGGTCTGAAATAGTTTCATTTGATTTTTATCTCCAAAGTGCTCATTTGCAAATTAATTGTGTCCGTTGTTTTGTAAATGAATGTTCTGATTTCAGAGTTGGGTTTATATAAAATTTTTATGCAGCTGCAGATTCCATCATGGAATTGTAATCAGGCAAAATGGCAAGTTAAGGAACAGACTCTTGCATTCTCCTGAACTATGTCTGTTGAACAAAGATGCCTATTCTTGGGCTGTTTTTATGAGGAATCGTCATACATGAGAAAATCACAAGAATCTGAGTTCAACAGGAAGTGAGGCCTCTGTTATGTCAGCCATTCCACATATGGTACGTGATGTTATTACAAGAGAAAAAAATCAGTTCACAATTCACATGTGTTTTGTGTTCTGAGTAGTGTTAGATAGTGCTTTATAATATGTGACCCTGGACCACAAAACCAGTCTTAAGTGTACATTTTTCAAAATTGAATAAATAAGCTTTCCATTGATGTATGGTTTGTTAGGATCGGACAATATTTGGCTGAGATACAACTATTTGAAAATCTGGAATCTGAGGGTGTAAAAAAATCTAAATATTGAGAAAATCGCCTTTAAAGTTGTCCAAATGAAGTTCTTAGCAATGCATATTACTAAACAAAGATTACGTTTTAATATATTTACAGTAGGAAATTTACAAAATATCTTCATGGAACATGATCTTTACTTAATATCCAGATTTTTGGCATAAAAGAAAAATCAATAATTTTGACCCATACAATGTATTTTTGGCTATTGCTACAAATATACCCCAGCGACTTAAGGCTGGTTTTGTGGTCCAGGGTCACATATTTAGAGTTGCATATTTCTAACATCAATGAGATGAGATTGTCCTCAAAAATGGACTTACCCTCAAACCATCCAAGATGTAGATGAGTTTATTTCTCCATCAGAACAGATTTGAGGAAATTTAGCATTACATCACTTGCTCACCAGTGGATCCTCTGCAGTGAATGGGTGCCGTCTTAACTTTAATGGTTTAAAGTTAAAATGCCTTTATGACGGATTTGTTTCTTGCAAACACAGCTTTTCACTTCGAAAGACATTTATTGATTAACTAGAGTTGTGTGGATTACTTGTGGATAATTGTGATGTTTTTATCAGCTGTTTGGACTCTCATTCTGACGGCACCCATTCACTGCAGAGGACCCATTGGTAAGCAAGTGATGTAATGCTTAATTTCTCCAAATCTGTTCAGATGAAGAAAACTCATCTACATCTTGGATGGCCTGAGAGTGAGCACATTTTAAGCAAATTGTCATTTTTGAGTGAACTATTCCTTTAAATATTTTAAAACATTATATATAAAAGTATGCAGAACTATAAGTTTTGTATCAAAGATCATAGACTGACAGCACTACTTTGTACTAATTCAGAAAACCACTGAGGTTGCTGTTGTGTAACTGCTTTGCCTTATTCGTCCTGAGGGATGCTGCATGATTGCGATGTGCGTTGCATGTCCAGTGATTGATCCAGATGTCTGTCTGCGTGTAAAAATAATTCTCTGTCCCCACAGAATAATTCATAGCTCAGATACGCTGGATAAAGCTGATTGGGTGCTATCAAAGCTGCCTATAATCCTTTAAAGCTCAAGACCCTGCCTGTGCTGCTGCTTCTGCCTGTATGTGTGTGTGTTTCCCCACTGGTTCATTACTATTTAATAGATGTTTGAAAGACTTTAATCTGCAAAGCATGATCAATAATACAGCACAGGGCTCATTACAGGGGAATATATACCATTCAGGAAGAGAGAGGGAAGTGAGAGAAAACAAACAAGGCTGAAAAGAGAAAGAGGGAGTGAATGGTAGAAAGAAAAACGGAGGAATGGAGGGGGAGGTGTTGCTGGCAAGACAATTCATTTTCCGCACTGACAGATTCCGCTAATCCGACGCAGGCATCTGATCTAAGAGGATCAGAGAGGTGAATCATGCAGTCAGGTCAAGCATTGCTGACTGTCTCTGTGTCCTGTGTGTGGACCTCACGTCGTTCAAAAGCATTATCCAATTTACATTTGCCTTGTGATATTATAGACATATATCACTGATTCAGCTAAAACTTTAAGATACCACTGTAATTATGTATCTATTCATATACATATATAATTATTTATTAATAACAATACTTATAAAAATAGTAGTAGTTATAATTTATATTTATATAATTATACGCTCACACACAATTCTTGTACTTTTTATGATGGAAGGATGCAGTTTAGGGGACTTAAAAAAAATCAACAGCCATCCACTGCCATTATAAATCTTGGAAGAGCCAGGACGATTGTATTCGTCTGAAAGAAGAAAGTCATATACACCTAGGATAGTTTGAGGGTGATTAAATCATATATATATATATATATATATATATATACAATTATATATGTCTATACACACTCTTGCCACTAGAGGACTCTATGGGTCTCTTACAGTTTGAAAGGGCCACTGCTGCTGCTGGCTGTGATTTCTTGTCTGGAATACGTGTGTGTGTGTGTGTTGTGTTTGTGAACAGACAACAGGTGAAGGCAGAGGGGCGATTCATGGCCTAAATCCTTAAAATAGCACACATTCCTCTAGCACTGGGGCACTGGTGGCCCTGGGTGGGTGTTTTGATTGCTTGAGGGGGTCTGGAGGTCTGTTGGTGGCAGAGAGAGATGAGAGCCGGGAGCCAGCAGGTGATGAAGATTTTCCTCAGATGAAGGTGTTGGACTGGATGGATTTAGTAGGTTCTCACTAGAGCTGACAGGTGGAAGTTGGGGGTGGGGTGTGGGACATGCATAGCTGCACATCTCCTTTCCAAACGGAGAATGTGGGAATGACAGCAAGACAACTTTTAAATGCCATTTCGTGGCATGAGATAATGTTTATTAGAGCAGAGAACAATTGGCTAAAGGAATATTGTAGGTTCAGTACAAGTTAAGTTCAATTCACAGTATTTCTGGAAAAAAATAAAATGTATCTATATATACAGTATGTATGATAGATATAGATATAGATATGTAGATATATATATAGTATTATTTTTATTTGCATTTATCTGTGAAATATAACGTGAGTTAACATTATTTTAATGTGTGCGAAGAAACTATTTCATATATCTGTCAGCTGAAAAAATTTAGAATAAAATATTATGTATAATTGACTGATTCATTTATCTTTGATCTCTTTTTTTTCTGTCTCAGATGATGTGTGTGACTTGAAAGCAGAGCGGCCGGGTATAGGTAGCGAAATGACAGCCAAAGAGCGAGGCTCACTGGAGGATAACGAGGAGAGAGACCAGGAGGAGGTGGAGGCTGGAAACGGAGAGAAGGGGCAGGAGGATGAGCGGGAGAAGAAGGAGGTGAAGGAGGAGACGGCGGAGGAGGAGAAGGAGGGGGACAGAGAGGAGCAGAGAGGAGTGGATGACGAAGATGAGCTGGAGGTGCTGAGGTCGCAGGTGGTGCAGCTGCTCCTGGAGCTGGAGGAGACCAGAGAGGTGTCACAACGACACGAGGAGAGCTACAACGAGCTTCAGGGTGCGTATGCTAATGGGGTCTGTTTTTAGGGTGTGACATCATCACCGAGGAGTTCCCTCTGAGCATGCTCAGCTGTCACTGACCGCCAAACCACCTGTTTCTCCAGTCCTGCCCTCACACAAACATTCCTGGCTTGTTAATATTGTCGGATGCCAGTGATAAGTTACTAATTACTCATGTCCCTCCAGTTGCCATTTAATGTCATTGTTTTGCTTTGTAGGTCTTTTGGAGGAAGAGCGGCTGGCAAGCGCCCACCAGGCCGAGAGCTTTACGAGGCAGATCCAGAGACTTCAAGGTGAACAGAAAGACAATTAGAAACAGAAGCAGATGTGAACGCATCACAATTCTAAAGATAAAATAAATAAAATTAACTTTAGACTTTAAGTATGACAGATATGAATTATTATACTTAGTCATCAAGTAGCAAAAATATCCTCTTACATTTAGCATATTGAATAACAGCTGTGTCCAACACTATTGAATAAACATTCTTGTTATATCAAGCTGTTTCATGATTTCAACACAGACCACAGATGATTTGAAGAGGCTATTTGCATATTCATATCTTTGTGCAGTATTAAAAATAGAAAACATTTGCTATGGTTGGAAATATTATACTACACATAGTGCTACTCAATATGCTGTTGTACTACTATCCAGATAACATTTGCCACAATGTGCAATATACATTATAGTACAATGCACTGGGTACTTTTTTCAGTATGCACTATATACTATGCAGAATGCAGTGAGCTCACATTGTATTTTGAACATTGCCGATGTACCTTTGTTCCAATACGGCTTCATTATCTTTATGAATACATTAAAATTGATAATATCAACTAATTGCATTACTCTCTGCACATCATGTTCAAACACTCCTGCAAGGTCTTCTTGTATTCAAACTCAATGTCGATGACACACACGATCTATGTGTTGTTTGTTTGGGCGAGGAGCATGCACGCGATGTCCTCGAGGGGGCAGTCTGCGTGCATTGCAAGTTTTTTCCAATGAAAAAGCTCCTTTCTCGTTTGTCTCTCTTTTCAAGTAAAGAGGGGCAGCCATCTGCTTCCCGCGGTTCAGGACCTGTCACTGCTGAGGCACGGAGGAGAATGAACTTGTGGGGATCTCAGGTGGACCTGGCCGATGAGTTTAGAGAGGGGCTTTCCTTCT